CCACTGCTGAACACAACCCGATCATTGGCACTTCGATTCCAGATATCTTCGGAGATAAATATTTTCCTACTGGATCTAATATTTTAGAATCTTAGACAAACCAGCTAAGGAAATTATTTCTTCTGAATTAACTTCAGTATGGTAAATATTGTATAATTTTAAATCCTATATAATTCAAGAGGTCGCCGGTAATTCTGCAAAGACCAATACAAATTGCCAGCTGTTTTTGTGCAGTCTTGCGGAACCCTTAAATCATTACTACCCAATCCATAAATCTGATAAGATTTACTCTTCTAAACTAATAATGCTGCTATTTATTGAACTAATATATAAGTTGTAGTTTGCTAGCTTTCCCATGTTGAAAACCTGGAGCTTTCAAAGCTTCTTTCGTCTGTAGAAATGAAAAGGTGAATAAGTTACAAAGAAAGTTATTTTTAAAAAAGTTCTTAATGTGAATACTCGTTGCAGCAACTTTTACGCAAATTATTTAAAAACATAAAAGGTATAGAAAAGTAACTAAAAAAAAATAAATGTGAAAGTAAATGAATCTTAAAGTGTAAATCACGTCGAAATCTTATTCAATGACTTAGAAGATGAGCAGATAAAAATCAACGATTTCTATATACTTACGTACTAAATTGAATCATTGGAATCACGCATATGCTATTACATACGAGCCACTCGCAATGATGTTATAATAAAAAAAAAATCTTTCGCTGCTCGCATATTGCATGACGTTGACTGTTACTCGGCTGAAGAAAGATAACTAATTTTGATAATCCTTGATTTTTGATAGTAAGGTGTTTAAAGCTGACAAGAAATGCATTGACTGCAGTAATCCCTGTCGTTGATTAAAACCATTAACTGAGTAACGCTCGTGTGTAAAGGGTTAATTTTAAATAATTGATATTTGTTAATGATTAGTTGCAAATCCAGTTGAAGTGAACAATTGCAAAACTAATCTGAACAAAACTAAAAGCTGTTATAAAGATGTAACAATTATATAATTATATGACCATGTGGTTCCGATATATCTCCTTCTTTTCCTGTGGGTGTCGTAAGATGAAACTAAAAGAATTTAATGGTATAGGGATAGGCAGAAGCGTTCCTCTCAAAACATCTCTAAAAGCCTAACTGCGGTTGCCAACCCACCTGCCTAGGGTAGCAACAACTGGCAAAACTCCCCTTATGGCGAATTCTTATATTAAGCAATGGAAAGTTAACAGCTGAAATGATTATAATATATATATATATATATATATCATAACAAGCTCACATAAAATTAATGGAAGGTCCAATTGATCAATTCGTTGTTTCATTGACAATCTCTTCAGTTTGTTTTGACTATGAGCCTGAGATTAGAAATGACGTATGCATTATAAATACAATTTCTACATCTATTGGAATTGTAATCACATATAAACAGATTATTGATTGTTTCAAAGCTATAGAAGCATTCCCGCTACCCAAGTCCTAATTAAACCCTGGGGTATAAGATATATTACGGAGAATAGCAAACAAGACTTACCAGACGACCCACCTGTTGGAAAGTGGTAACCGTAGAAATGAACAATACTATCAGTATCATATAAATAACGGAACGTATTGCTTCCTATTAACTTAAATATTCACACTTATTACCTTACCCTTCAGGCTTAAATAAAAGAACGCACAAAGCTGCTTCACTGCAGGAATAGATAAGATGGTATACCCATAAAGTTTTGGAAACAGATAAATGAGTACTAGTATCAAAATCTTTCAGGATATGGTAACTGCTAAGTATCAATTGAATCTTCTTGATGTAAAAAAATATCGACAAGACGGTAATTTCTTGTTGTAAACAAACTATTTACTTGCAATATTTGCTCATCACAAATATAAAAACTTTAAAGTTTTAAATTATACAAAAATTACTGTACCGAGGCATAACCAGAATACTGCTAAATTACTCGTTTACCTAAACATGACCAAAATATAAACAGTATTATGAAGTAATGTATGAAATTATGTTCTTTATTATAATGCCACAAAGTACAATTTGTTTAATATTTGATCACTGACACGCCATATGTCCATATGTAAATATTAATGTTGTAGAGCATCTTACATTAAATTCTAATAGGAACCTATTTGAATACACAGCTAGTCTTTTATAAGAAACAAATATTACAACTGTAGTCCTAGATGAAGAAATAAGGTTATTACTAAATACGTAATGGTGAACGTAACAAATTGTCCATATTTCAAGGATGAAATTTTTGTGATTCGATATCACAAAAACTACCATATCTCCATCTCTCAGATATTCTCTTTTACTGTAAAGCTGACCACAAATTAACATATACATTTTAGATCTTCATCGACTTTTTAAACCAAGAAAAAACTATCATGTAAGTAAAGTGGAACATATCTGGGGCATGACGTTTTTCTATTGCTTGTATATTACGATCTTCACTTAAAGAATAGTAGTACTTTTATATATGTATAATGTATAATATTTTATATCTAGTATTAGTATTAGCTATTACAGTATTTGCATCTCATTGTACTCGTATTTGGTTGTACTCATGTGGCAAAAGAAGCATACAAACACCTAGTGGTTACTACTTCATCTGCGTACTAGAAACATTGCGTACGCCTTACTGATCCTGTAATAAACTTTAAAGTTCTAATTGCATGCTAATCTATATTTATAGTAGGCAATAAACTTGAAAAAATCTCTCCAGTGAATTTATTCAGATATTTGAAACTTAAAATCTTTAAAAACAGATTTCTTTATGAATTGTACATTCCCTAGGGCACCATTTAACCTAAATCTGTTAGGTACTTATTTCTAACACAATAAATATTGCCGACGTATATTTTTCGTATGTGACTGAGGAGCTTCTAAACAAGCTAGAACGTTTACAAAATCTAGCAATTAGGTTCATCTTTGGTCTTCGTAAATACAATCACGTCTGTGTTTTTCGCAACCAGTTTAAAGAAGTTCCCTATCCGACAACGACGTGTTATTCACATCCTATCTTTCCTTTATAAGATACTTAATAATCCCAATTATCTATTGTATCCCCGCTCCCGGTTTAAATTATTATTATCACTAGTCCGCCCTAAACACTCCTGTCAGGTTCAGTCCAAGATGCTCGAACTTCCTTTGCGTAGGACATATTTTATGGGAAACTCTTTCTCATATCGAGTTGCCCAATTATGGAACAAATTCCCTTTTCACATACAAGAGAGTCCTACTATTAACTACCTACTTAAAAAAATATTTTCTTCCCACTGATTCTTAATCTTTATTTTTCTAAATTAACTGTCATATCTTAAAATAAATAAACTAAATTTCTAATGTAGCTAGTATATTCATTTATTTCAACATTTACTACATAAATATGGAGGTATTATATTTATGTTTTATTGTAATATATATTAATATTTCATTTAACTGTTTATTTATAACTTATATATTGATTAGTATTAATAGTTTTTCATATTCGGTGTATAAATAGTTGTTCATTTAGCTTGTTAGCGGGCAACTAAAGTGCTCGTGCTAAAGCTAAAGCTGCCCGCTAACGATATGCTTTCCAACTGTATAGGATTGACTGCAAAAAATCTGTTTCAGAAACAAGTCCACCCATGCTCGTGTTTATAATATGGCAATATATATATTTATATTGGTATTCATTATATCTCGAATATACTCTCTAATTTGTTAAAAAAATTTTAAAAATTTTTAGTATTTTATGAAAATAGAAAAAGATATTTCTGGGCAAAATTATCCTTAACATTTAGACATTTAAGAGTTAAGGCTCATAATTCCTCTAGCGTTTGAACTTCTGGCTCTGGATATATCTTCATGTGAGTGTTAAGGGAAACCCTGTATGTAAAGGACAATTGATTGGTAAAATTGTAAAAACGAGCATAAACTTTTATAAATGTCAAATAATATAACTAGTTGATCCATTAAAAATAATCTGTCTAATGATCAAGCAACAAACACTTATATAGAGAATAATCAGAGATCCCGATTCTGGTATATGTAAAAATTTCGATTAATTATTGCCTGATGAAACTAAACCTTAATACATCAACGTAAGATTTAGTTTGATCAAGTTTTGTGCAAATCCTAATCGTTGCATCCGGGAGAATTAAGGCTGAACAGATAATATAATATAATAAAAAAATCCTAAATCTGAATTGATTGAAATACTAAAATAAATATAAGAGAAATAAAAGTAATCTGTTTTACAAATAAGAGCTCCATGGAGTTTATTTGAAAGGTGCAAGTATCTTTAAAAAGGGCATAATAAGGATTCTTCAAGTTTATTAACCTACATTTAATCTATTCAGTATTTATTTCAAATGTTTGTGAAATAAAGAAAACCTTAGGCTATAAGAAACCAGGCAAGATGCAAAGTATTATACAACTGTCACGCCAAACCAAAATGACTTTACAAAACTTTGTAATATGAATTCGGTATTTCCAACACGGGACCTTATTAAAGTATCAGAAGGAACGTGCCTTATCACTGGACTGCAGGAGCCGTCATACCTATATGTAGCGGTTCAAAGCCGAACCGACTCAGTAATTAAATTATTATTATTAAACGATTATTAAGTTAAAACCTCAATAACAGGATAAAAGTTTTACTAATATACTTATTTACAGGTTGCAAGAATTGTTTTTAATGTTGCATTTATTAGTTTTGTTCATAGACATATTATTGCCATAACTACAATTTAAAATAAAGATGTAAATGAGAATTTTATCTGACATTCCTGAAACAGGACAAAGCCAGCTGTTTATCATCAACCACGGAAGCCAAATGTCATATTTATCATCATTTTTCCTGTTGAACTGTTCAACTCCATTAGCGAAACCATTATTCATTGAAATTAGATAAAACACATACAATAACAACCTACGACCTCAAACTGTGGACGAACTATTAAAGAAATTGAATAGTGGAACGCATTTCAAAATTTTATTCATGAATACTCACCTCAGACTCGGTGAGCGATCGATATTCCACGTGTTGACAACCACACCTCAGTTGTTGGTGTAGTCAAGTAAAAAATAAAACAACAAAACCAAAAAAACAAAACACCACGGTATGTCTCCACGTTTTTGGACAGTCTGAACTGTCATTGAACAACAAATTACACTGAATGTTAATGCGTTATTCCACAGAAAATTTTACACCCACCCGGCGTTTTGCGTTTTCCCGGTCAAAATAATGGAACTAAAAGGAAATAAAGGGAAAAAACAAAGACTGGGGAGGCTTCAACGATCTATTGTTGTTGCAAGATCTTACAATGGTTATTTCTAAGCTGTAAACACAAATGAGATGTTGAAATATCGGAATATAATGCAGCGTATTGTTATTTCTCGTACTGCTAGAGAGCTATACGACATCCGCCTCGATGGCGCGGCCAATACTGAGAGATTTGAGCGCAAAAAGCGACATATCCGACCAAGTAGCGTTGCCTAGAGTCAACGGGCGCTAAACGGAAAACGCAACTGGAAAATTACAGCTGTCTCCCTCGAACTTATTTAAACTGTTGTGCAGAGGTAGGCTTTCCTTTTTCCTTCGCGGCGGCGTTTCTTCTTGCGGTATTTAGTTGAACTAAACTGAGTCATCATGTCTCTACTCCTACTACTTGTATTCCCTATAATACTTCCCAGTAAGTGCCTGTTTAATAAATACGACGATGTTTGCGTACCTAATAATAATAAATACCATTAATAATGTGTTCCAAGTCTCTACCTTCTATATTCAGGGGTACAGATATTAATGAAGGATTTTAAACTTCAAGGCACTCCATATACACAAACCGCGATACAGGCTTAAATTTATCTAGTCTAGATTGTTGTTAAAGAGACAAATCATCATCTTCTTTTAATATAATTCCGCAACTAGGCTTCAAAGTTCTTGAAGGCTAATACCTCTGTAATTTCTTGATATGACCAAAACATTTTTTGCCTTTTTATATTATATAAATTCATTTCAATGAGCATCCAGTCGAATTACTCGTCCACACATAAAGCCTATACAAAACAATGTATAAATGTTAACTGAAAGATAAGATTTTTTAACAGCCATTTTATTATTATTATTTCAGCTATTAACTGTCCACTACTGGACATAAGCCTTTCCCATAAGAGGACTTTTGCCAGTAATTGTCACGCTTGGCAGGTGGATTGGTAACCGTAGTTAGGCTTTTAGAAATGTTTGAAGAGGGACGCTGCTGCCCATCTCTCGCTCTTCCTTAATCACTTCTTACGATACCCACGGGAAAGGATAGGGTGGCCCATTCTATGCCAGGGCACCCACGGCAATTACTTTGACAGACATTATTTTAAATTAAATTATATATTTTTATATGTAGATAGGTATACTTAAAAAGTTGAGCGTAGGAAGAAAGAATGAAATCAACTTGTAGTCCCTAGAGTCTAATATCTCGCGAAAAAGTCATTTAATAAAATATCCTTTCCTCTTTCTAATGACACCTGCATTTCTTTATTCGACGAAATTCAATAAAAACTGTTTTTTTTTTTAAAGTCGTTACTTAATTTACTCACCGAAGAGACTTTGTACAAAAGTCGTTTGCTTGGGTACCTCTATTTTATTTCTGTTTCTGACGTAAAGCAGTTGTGTTTGCATGGCTGTGATTCGGTGTGATGGATGGGATAAGACAATGAAATTACAGAGTAGAGAGGCATAACACCTGAGTCCTCAAGAATGGCAACACATGAAGAGTGTCACGAACGACACAGTATACTTTGTTATGTTCATGATGAGAGGTCACTTTCTATTAGCCGTCAGCTAGCTTGCTATTCTAAGTTATACAAAAAATATGTATGGGAATCTTAGACAAAAAGCTCTTATTTCTTTAATATGATTATGTACGCGTCAGTTCACTTACAAAGTGAAATCAAAATCATTAGCATCAAAGAAGTACTTTTTCTAACTTAATAAAGAAATTAAAAAAAACTTGTCAAAGAAACATACGTCGTAAGTTGTTAAAAAAATTTATGCCTTCTATACTAACTTAACTTTCTAAAGTCCGCCTCAATTTTTTTATCCTTTAAATTAGTTTAATAAATGGTAATAATAATCTATTTTCGACTTAATACAGTTTTACCAGTTCAACACACCGCGAAAGATTTAATCGTAGAAAATATAAATAATGCAAAATGTGTGATATCAAAAAATATGGGATTGCAAAACATTGACCACAAATCTGCTTAAATAAATGCCACAACTATTTAATATGTTAATTTTTTGTCCCTTTTTAAAAAATTTATATCGACTCCAATTAAATAGATATCAAATCCTTAATGAAACACTCAAAGAGTTAAAATAAACAAATTATACAATATTTTTGATAATTGATTTTAATTTGAAATTGTCGCATTTTTCCTTACGCTGAAAATTATAAATTTGCTTTTTTAGTGTATAAACAACATGAAATATATTTCTAAAAATTAGCCAACTAATCAACTAACAAAAAAATACTTATTCTAGAGAAATAACATATATTCCAGAAATATGTATAAAAATTATGCACATTGGGTTCTATACTAGTGAGGCAGCATATTAACCAACTTCAAAAAGAAAGAGTTTTTTCAATTTAGTTGTATTTTTTTATATTTCTTATCTCATAACTCTGTCAGTCCTAAACCAATTTGGATTTTTTTTACCTGTTAAGATAAACTTACAAAATAGTTCCATAGAAATTTTATCAAAATCGGTTCAGTAGGTAAATTTTGAGATCAAAATAACTGGTTTTGCCACAATTGAAGTTGTTTATTTATAATCTTTACATATGGTTCTTCTATTGTTTGATAGATCTGCAGTGAAACGCAATGTAATTTTATTGATCCAAATAAATGTGTGTTATTCTACAATTACCTTTATTTGGATGAAGTATTTTGTAGTGTCACATGTTTCTTGTTGTTTCTCACAGCACATATAAGGGCAAGTTCATGAAGTCTATGCAATTTATAACTATTTGGTATTTAGTATTTTGTGCGTAACAGTGAAATGTCATTGTGTGTGATAGTGTTTTTTCTTAATTGGTAATACGTTTTTCTTAATTGGTGATAACGGAAAGATAACTCCATCTGCGCTATCGATGTATAAAGGCAAGACAACAGAGTTATTATGGGCGAGATTAAGTAGGTCCTTTTTTAATGGGTGATAATGGAATGGTAACCCTGCCTGCGCTATCGGTATATAATGGCAGGGCACTAGTGAAAGATGATAGATGAGAATAAATGATGATAGGTCAGTTGGCCTATAATGACCAATTAAAACTCGTAAAGAGTTAATCAAGATGGTTTCCAGGGGGACCCGCGTGGAGGTCTATTGCTTGCTATAGACTCCTATTACTAACAATCCCTTTCCCCTCTGCCACAGTACAATATATTACGTCTACAATTTATCTATTTATTTTATAACGTAGAAAGTGAATGCCAGGTACTATTCTTAGTACGAATATATGATTTATACCTGCGGATAACGGAACTTAATCAAGGATAACGGAAATTTGTTGAACTTCGTTTGTCGTTTCCGACAATTGTTTTGACTTCATACGGAAGTCTTCTCTAGAATAAATACTATGCATATGTCGCAGTGTCATTTATTTAAATTAATGAAATTTTATTTAATTATCTATTTTCAAATGCAACTTATTACTCAAATTAATGCTAAAGATTTATTGTAACATCATTATTAATAAAATTATCATTCCATTGAACTTTGTTATTTAACGCCTTAATGTATTTGCTAGCAATATATATCCTGATGAAATAATTGCTTTAAAAAGAGATACTTTTCCTTCATAGACCGTTGATTACTAAAACTACTAAAACATCTAAAACAGAAAATCTTTTCGGAAAAATATTGTACAAATACCTTTTAACGCCAGAAAATATCAGATTTTCAAAAAGAAAATTTGAGAGTTTACTTGCAATATGTTATAATTATTACACCCATATCACTTACATTACATATGCCTTTAAATTACAGAACATAAAAGTGTAAAGTTAACATATTTGCTATACAAAACTAAACAGGCGTTATAAACCCAAAAAAGCTTGTAATGCATACAATCATAATGATTTCCAACGCATGGACGGTATCATGGGCGAAACAGTATACTCTGTTATGGCCATAGTACTGCTCATATCTATAGACGACGATTACCACTTTCCATCAGGTGGGCCGTCAGCTTGTTTGTCATTCTAAGTTGCATAAAAAAATGTTGATTCGATAATTTCACGAAATTAGAGTTTCATAGATCATCATAAAATAAATTTATAATAATTTTGATTTAAAACTTATTACAAATTTAGTCAATATTGGTTCTTAGAATAAATATTTCTGTGTTGTATCAAATTGAAATTTTAATTTTTTTCATAGGTAGATAGAGAAATGGCCTCTCAGAATTGGCCCCATTATGTACTCTCAGATATGGCTATGCGCATACTTAAAAGCTACACTCGCATCCTGGGGTGGGCATCAGACGGTTCTGGGGTGAGTACGGCCTACCCGGCTCCCCCTTAAATACCCTTATGTACATTAGAAGGTAAATTTAATTCTTGGAACCTTGTAATTGGAATTTTCGTTTATCGATACATGAAGTGAAAAAATGTTTGAATTTTTTTAAATCGGTCCAATGCTTTTGACATTTATCTGCCTTACAATTTTAAATACATTAATTAAAATAAAAAATGCACTTACTAAAATAACTAAAATTTTTGCTGGTAAATAGTACCTATTTACCTGCTTCTTTATTGCCGACGTTTCAACGTAGATTGCTCCACTTCGTGGTCAATCCACGTTGAAACTGGACCGGACTGAAGTGAGCAGCGTCTTCGTCTAGCAGTCTGCACAGTCTCTTCAGGCACCCTCACACTGTCAATATTATTATCTTGATCCTCCCTACAAACTGCACTACGTTCCAACCAATTATCACGTGTTTTTAGTGTATTAATTAGTAGGTCTCATACTGTTGACAGCTTTTTAACAATTTCAATTGCTTCATGGGGATAATAATAACGATATCCGAGGATAATAGTAACACTCGGTTGATAAAACCTTCAGGTCATGCAGCTCAAATCATTGATTAGTAGAGCTTTTTAATAAATATTCTGCGATCATCGATTTATTTAAAATATGTGTATACAATACGGAAGTTTAAAATGAAATATTTCTTTCCAACCGTTATAATAAATATCTTATTTTCCTATCTCAAGGGCGACGGTGTACACGTATCATAACATTATCCCATAATAACTTAATGAAAGTGCTCTAAAATAATTGAAGCAGTAAATATGGTAGTTAAAATGTAGTCATGCTGATAGTATAGGGTTTGTGATCGCGAGGACGGTACGTGATCGAAAACTGCGGTCGACTGGC